CGACATCGATTTCAGATGAAATGTGAACGCGCCTGCAAATTGTGTAAGCCAAATCAGCCAATCGCAAGACTGCCGAGGTCTGACACGCAGAAACAGCTCCAGAGTACAAGGAACTGTCGATATCACGCAAGACGCATCGGTCATGAATGAAGCAGTTGGTGGAGACGCCGACTGTCTACACACATGGTGCCAGTTGACGCGAATGACTCAAGTCGAATGCCAAGCAGTCTTCCACCCTTGCCGACAAACCCTGCCACGAATCCGGTCACAATTTTAAATTCCGCCATTAATACTTGCTTTTTCCACATTTTAGACGGTACACCTACACGGCCTTCACAATCGAGGAGGAGGTGACAGTGGAGTAGCCAGTGGCACAACACCACCACCACCACCACCGCCACTACCACGACCGCATTTTATCACTTTTAGTATATTTACGTACACCTCGTTCACAACGTCACACCTGAACGCATTTAATTGTCAACAGGAAGCACTGCGTCACCCAGCATTTGTACATACACTCCGTCCCGAGTTATCGTTGCACCTCCACTTGAATAAACGCATTACTGCCTCCACGCCACACACACACCCACCCACTCCTCCTGCCATGGGCTACCTTGCCAACAGGCTGTCTTGTTTTCGTCGTGGAGCCAAACGCTGCTAGATTGTAGGCATCGACAGAATCCAGGCACTGTGTTCTCTCTGGCATAAGATAAACATTTGTAAGACAAACTACAAACTACCTCTGCGTCACGTGACGCTGTAATTGGCACGGCTTGGGTGAGTATGTGAGGTCATGACACCGAGCACCCCCACGTGACCTAGTAACGTGATTGGTCAGTGACGTAAGTGGACCTGAGTAACTCGAACGTTGGTAGGCCCAGCACTTCTGGCCATTTACCAAGCGTAGGAACTCGTGCACGCGCAGCGTTCAGGGGTTTTTAATCGATTATCGATTCCTTAGACCAATCCACATCGATAGCTACCAATCACGCAGTAGAACAAGCACATTTTTTTATCAAATTTTTCTGCATAAAAACGAAAACAGCCACATTCTACACAAAATTGCTCCAGTACATACAAAAATACGTAAAAAATTGGTCGCAGTAAGATAGGAGGTACTAAATGCGGAATGGCGGTTAAATAGAGGGTTTTAAAAAGGCCTTTCACGTCCTATAAATGCAATAAAAAACCCACAACGTGGGGAGGCCATACAATCTACGAAAAGGAAACCGGATAAAAAAAGTTGCGGTACAAAGTGCTGCGGAGTGCGTGGGGGGTAGTGGGGGGAGGGCTGGGGGTCTCCCAGCCCAGGTCACAACCAATCAAAGACGTCGTGCGGCCACTCAATTGCGTGTCGAATTCATTTGGACGGCGAACAGCTCCGTGCGTCGTTTATAATTCTCTAGGAGCAGTTGACGCGAGCGCAGGGTCTCACGCACGGCCGGAGACTGGAGGAGAAGGCGGGTCTTCTCGTTGACGATGGTTCGAAGGAGGCGGGCGTTGGCGGAGGCGATGACAACAGCCGCTGGGACGCTGTCAGCACTGTTCGGCATGGAACTGCAAGAAGATGTCGACGAGGCGTTTCCACCGCCGGCAGCTGTGCCGTTGCCATCGGCAACAGTAAGGGGCTGAGGTGAGGAACAGAAAGGGCCATTGGAATTCGAAGATGGCACATTGAACATTCCGTGGAGGGTAAAAACTCACGGCAAATAGGGGACCATCAGAGAGCAGCTTATCCGTCCTTGCTTTCACCAGTTTCTCGAAATCTTCCTTTTTCTTAGCATCACTGGCAGCAGATTTGAGCATTTCTGAGGGAGGGCGTTTCTTTGACTTGCGCAACGGCACCGCCCCCGACGACTGCAAGTAAACCGTACTTAGAATTAGTCAGTAGCAAATTATTTACGCTAAATAACAAATCAATTCGCTGACAACCATCTCTTTAGATATTCCTGTAAGCTTTGGGTCGTGAAGCTTTATGATCAGAAAACCTCAAAGTGTCGACAATTATCGATTAAAAACTCGGCGTACCGAGGAAACAGTTAAATGAGTGACAAGAGGACACGACTTCCACCTTACGCACGGGATTTGATGAAGGGTAGTATTATGGTGGAAAAAGCATCGTACAAAACCTCTAGTGGCACCGCCATTTCATGGTCATTCGTTAGGCGTGCGCACAAATAAAAGGTTAAAACAAATACTACTTATAATGATAAGTAGTATGCACATAGAGCAACCTGTGCTGTCAGTTGGCGTGAAGGTGATGTGGGATTTTGTGTCGCAACGGAAAGTTGGTGATACTGAGATGGTTGCTGCGGTTGATTTGCACAACCAGAGGCAGGATGAAAGGCAGACAGGTGGCGTTGCTGGTTAGCTGTGCTAGCATGCTGTTGATGATAGTCGCTGTAGTACTGGTTTTGATAGGCAGCCTGGTAAACCGCCTGACAGCGACTGGCGTAGGAGGCGGCGTCGGTAGTGCCGGAGCCAATCATGTTGGAGAGGTTGAGAGGATTCTAAACGAAGGCAACGACTACATAAAATGGTCCATATCCATCATCTATATATCGGAATCACTTGGCTAATGGAGTTGGAAACTGACATTAGCCTAAGCGAGATAAAGTTAATTTGGATGGAAGAAGATGCAAAAATACTAGTAAGTTATGCAGGAAAATGACGTCAGTGTTTACCGAAGCACCCGATGAAAATTGCTGTGAGTAGCCAGCGGCGGCGGCTGCAGCGACGGCAGCGAAAAATGGGTTGGCAGAAGGGTATGCGGATGTAGAGCGCGCGTAGTCCTGATAAGTTTGTTTTGCGGCAGCGTCATTGTACGTTGAGAAGCCCTTAGTGGCGTAGTTGTTGTAGTGGGCTGTTGGCTGCATAAATTGACTGAATGGAAGATTTTATGCGTCATTAGGCTCACGTCCTCGAAAATGAATGAAGTTCTTAACAAGGATCTCGATCATTGAAACACAAGATTAACAGCTATTTCCCACTACCACCAGAGCTAATTCACTAATTTAATCACTATCTATTTGTTGGATTTAAGAAATACCTTCGATAAAGAAGCCGATCAAACGAATGAATCCCAGATTTAATAAATAGCAACACAATACAATAAAATAGCATTTACTAGTAAAGGCTCGGACCACTTAAAACGGAACAAACTAAATAAAAGCAATGGTTGTTAATACATTACCTGAAAGGACACGTAAAAAAGTACAACAGCCAAGAATCAAGACAGCAAACCACCACTTCACACAAACTTAAAAGATCCGGTAAAATTCGCATTGCACAAAACACCGCTTGCCAATGTTTTTAAGCTTTTTATATATACTGCGCCTATATTAGGTTTCTGTGTGAATGTTTCTAAATGCTTGTACATAAATGTTAATGACTACTTTTTCAAAAAAATTTGGAGCAAGAAAGGTATATTATACATTTAGTCAATATTTACTTTAAAAATAAAGATAATACGTGTCGGCAAATATAATAAACCGTGAATTTAACCAATTTTTTTTTATTAAATAGAATCTTAAAAACATTTACTTAACGAATGCTTTGTGCTTTGTGTAAATTTTTCCCCCTTCGTGTTCCGGAGAATTTAACAGTATATTAAGCTATTCGAACAAGCCTTAACGATGCCCTATGTTGCTAAAGAAAATCATTTTAGCCAATTAGCAGAAAATCAATTGCTTTAGAAAAGGCTCAATTTCTTGCAACAAATTTTTTTTTATTTTGTCTAATGTGTAACTTGTCAGAGAGATCAAATTGCGTTTTATTTTGTCTAAGAACATATGAAAGTTCGAATCAGTTACAAATGGACCTACTAGTAATAAAAAATACGTTTTTTAAACAAAACTTTTGAGATTCATTATGAAAAAGAAACATTTGTGGATTTTTTCGAAGTTGAATGCCAATTGAATTCATTTTTTTCCATTCTAAAGAATTGTCATCGGTGATTTTTTTAAGCATTTTCATATTACAAGTTGATGTGCTGCAATTTTTAGTAAATGGTTGTTATTTGTGCCACTGTTCCTATTAATCATAATTTGTCTATTTATAATTCAATTAGATTTTAAATCCTTTTATCTGATCAATTCAACCCATTTTTCAAAGAGAACACAATTTGTTGTATTTGTGGTTACATTATAAAGGTAATTTTTAAACTTTAATGCATGCTAGTAATGCTCATTTACTTGATCCCAAAATAAATACAATTCAAATTAAATTCGTAACATGTGTGTTTGAATTAATAAAAGTGCAAGTTTTTGGTGTTTGTCATTTGCAAATTAAACTTGATTGTTCTTTGGAAGTTAAGCTAAGTACATGACATTTGGTATCAACAATGCCATTACCGATCAAAGGCTGAGGGTAATCCTATACAATTTGGCCAACTCTTTGTGATGATTTTCTATAACCATTATCTCGGAAGAATTTTTCGTCCTCCGGAAACCATATTGACTAAATTTTGTGAACCTCAAAGCAATGACTCTGGATTTTGTGTACTCTTTTTATTGTGTATAGTTTGATTGACATGAGAATCACTAAACAATTCACAGTGGCTATACTAACTCCAAAACTGCCACGGAAATCGCTTTTACAGTGTTAAACTCGCAAACTAATTTGCCTAAATTTTCAAACTTAAACAAACTTCCTTACCTTCACTGCCATGGTTAATTACAACACAGCGAAGGATAATCGATAAGAAAAAGGGGTGTTCCAAACATTTTACTCTTACTAGGGTGCCTGAACACCAAATTAAAAGTCAGATACACTGCTCAACACCATCGTGCGTACAAATTTTACAGAGACCAGGTAAAATCAACAAGTATGAACAGCATGTTCAAATATTCACAAGAGCGTGGACAAACCAGTGCAACAAGTAAGGCATTAATACAGACTTTTTCAGTAAAAAGTTGTTCCAAGCGTTTAAATTATGCTTCGGTATTAGTCCCCTGAGCATTTGCCTACGATAACGTAATAAAAACGTCATTATTTGTCAGATAAACCCAATCAAGCGCGAGTTTATTGTCGGTAAATAAATTTCTGCCTTCATAAATCAGTTGAACACTTGCATCGCCTTGGGGATCAGCGACCACATCGCCGAGGTTGGTGTAGGCGTTTAGGGCCTGAAAACTAACAAAAAACGTTGACACGTGGAGCGGATTGGGGCTGTAGGTTCGTCGAACGACGAAAAGATTTTCTGTCCGCGGCACGGATGTCACAGCCACCTCGCTGTCATTCCAGCCTGTGTTGAATATATTCCCTGGCAATCCCACGGTCTTCCAACGAAAGTTGGCCCACTCTTCCAGTCGACCTTGAGCCGTCTGCTCGGGAAGCACGTTGATTGGCCAGTAGGTCTGAAAGTTTTCTGGGTCTGTGGCATTCCATTGGATAAGCTCTGTCGACCCTGTCATCTGTGTGATGCAGCAAAAAATTGGGTTTTTGCGCTTAAATTACTTTTATCTACGCCGTTCAAAAAGTTTTTAGCATACTCACGAGCTCAACTTCCTCACCCGCCGCCATCATTGTCAAACCAGGCAGAAAATTTGTGGTTTTTTGGAGTGTGAAGTAGTCTGTGAAGTCGGCCGAGAGCTGGACAAGCCTCCACACTGGAGAACACGTCTTCTGCTTCAAATCTGCAAGTACTAAACACCAACAACAAACAGCTGACGGCTAAGTCGAATCTAATTTGGCATCGCTGGTGCGAAGGATGAGAACTTACTGGAATACAGCTGTGCCGAAACATCTTCGGTGCGCGTTGTGATGCGTTCATTACTGATTATCTCACAGTAGCACAGGTCTTTGTTTCCAAACATCGAATCTACAGCCGTGTTGTCTGCCAGCCATGTAAATGTGCTGGTTTGTTCTACAATTAGACGAGAAAATTGCGGCCAGTTAATTGGTTCTTTCTTCCAAAAATCACCCATGTTAGTACACTCGCCAGTGACAGCTGAGGAAAGGATTTTCGTCAATGGAGCTGCCATTTCCCTGAGAAGGTTTGTGGAATTTGTAATGACTACCCCGCTGATCCCAAGTTTCTCCTTCCAAAATGCTAGGACAGATTGCATTTCCGTTTGAACCTAAGGCAAGAAAATGCGAAAAAAACGATCATTGATTGATGTGGGTCTGTGGGGGGGCCACGGTGGTAGATCTAGTTACCTAATTTGGCATGAAACCGACTTGCAATAGAGTCGAACCAGCAAAAAATTACCTCGACATCCGTCAGATTGAGCAGCGGCGCGCCTGGATTTCCGTGTACGTGTCGATAGTATTCATGCCGCACCTGGCTAAAGGTGTAGTAGCGCGCTTCAATTGCATTGATTGGCTGGAGTAGAAAAAGGGATGTATCGGAATCAGTCGTTTTGGATTTGACAGGTGTAGCGCCTTAACGCATAACGCCTACCGCCTCCTTTCTCCAGAGGTAGAAGTTTGCGAATTTGGGAGGATTCATCTCGACACTCTGGGTGAACCATTGATGTCGGTCGCTTGTGGAGTACAACGGCATCCCCAGCATCAGCTCGATGCCGTTGGTACGAGCTGACGCTTCAAGGTCAGCGAGCAGGACGTCGACCGGATCACCTTCCGGGTTGGTGTCCTGGTTGATGGCCTTCCAATTACGCACTCCGTTCTTATCGGCTTCGAGGAGGCCGGTTAGGATGGCCGCTGTTGCTTGTAGCTGCAAGAAAAAGCGCACTACTTTACCTGACAGTGATGATCTACCGTCAAGCAATCCGATTGGCTGCAAAACTGAGTTTGCGACACCGGGCGTGTTGATTGGCTGATTTTTGGATCAGTCCGTTATCTTGCTTTTTTAAAATTTCTGATTAAAATCAACCAATCTTTCAAGCTATTTCAGATAACCTGCGTTTCTTTATCTCTATCTTGATAAATTTTACACCAAACCGGTTTACTACTTATAGCGCAAAGGTGTTAGCACCCAGATAGAACTTGGACTTCCACACAGAAAGTTTCACAAGGATACGCAATTGTAAGGGTGTTGTTGGATCACAAACAGATGCGTGATTCACTGGAATGATTATCGATCAGCTGTAATTGTGTGTTTGACATGCTGCTAGAGTGTGATTTTTGAGTAAAGTTCACTGAAAATCGAGGTTTGTTTAAACAAACGCATTGCCAAGTAGACGCGAGATTTGACTTCGTCCCCGCTATTAAGTGCGTGTCTGACAATCAACTCAAACCCAACTAATGGACAGGCCATTATCCAATTAAATGCGAGAAGCTGTTGGCAGCACACACACACACACGCACACACAACCAAACACACCTGATTTAGCTACCTCGTCTGCAATGTGGTGGATTTTTTTAGCAAAAGTCGCTTACTCTACTGGCCAGGTACACCATTCTGGGTGTGACATCCTTCAGCCTGCCGAGACTTCCACTGATGTCGTTCGCGAAGGTCGGCACGTGGATCTGGTAGACGAGGCCATGAGTCCACCACGGTTCAGCCTCGGGAAATGTTAGTGGACTTGGGCCCCCGTAGATGACCCCCAGGGCTATCCCAATGGCGAGCAGCGCGACCAACAAGACGAGGACACATATGGACCACACGAACTGATGTCGACTGCAACCGCATGGACGAGTGAATGACCTTCGGTTAGAAGTCGGTGAGGCAGAGGGCAAATTAAAACTAGATTTGTCTGCTAGTTAACATAAACAAACATCTGGAGTCAGTGGTATCTAATTTAAGTGAAGTGACACAGTGTAATAAAATTCTATTGGCTAATAACCAAACAAATGAGCTATCAGTCACATCGAGACAGCCAATAGGACGCCATCATATGTTCGGATGGTGTGTGCTTGTAGCCAAAATAGGCTCTAATCGTTTAAAAAGAGAGAGCATTAAGTCTTTCGCACGGTTGATTTTACTCCATACCTGGGTTTTCTAGTTCCACTTTTTTCTCCGTCGGAAACGGTGTACACAATTGCTCCGTCGTTCATATTGACGTTGTGTTGGCTGACAAACTGCGCTAAGCGCACATCCATGCCGCCGTACGGCGAGTAGATGTCTCGGCCAGACGGTGCATAGACGACCTTTTCATCACCCGAATGCAGAGGCTTCCGCGTCGCGTCCTCCACCTCCTCCTCCTCTTCATCGTACGCGTTGATGCCGGAGTCGTCGCCATGGTAACCGCTGTAGGCGTTCGGTGAGGCGTCCTCGTAGGCACGCTGATGGGAGATGTTGTCTGAAACGAAACGTGCATCACGGTGGCTGTAGTGTTGCATGCTCAGCGTCTGATTGATTGTGTTTGCGTAAATCGAGCGCAGTTGCACAGGTGCGCGTTACGGTAACTAAGTTACGAGAGTATAGGCGTGCCCGATGGTTGGTTGCCGGATGGGAACCAATCAGGTTACTAATGCATGCATCATTTGAGGGCGTATTTATCGCCGCATTCAACAGGCATTTCAAACACACCATATAGTACTCAATTAGGTTATAAGCGTAAAATGATGGTAGCAATTGACTCAAAAGCAGATACACGGCAAATGTAAGGCTTTACCTATCAAGTGATCCTCAAGGAACAAGAATTAAAGTATAAAATAATTTTTTTGAGGAGAGGATGCTGAAAAATGAATCAGTAGACGTGTTGGTTGGCGAGTGACTAGTAGACGGTGAGTGTTGAGATGGCGCCGTTCAGCAACCCAAAATTGCCCCTCAAACAGGCCTTACAGACCTGGTTTGGGCGTTTTTAATGAGCTCAACGATGTTCCCACACCCGGCATTGCCCAAAAGTGCTTCTTTTGTTTTAATTGGCTGGATCTCAAGGTCAGCGAAAAATCGTGACCTTGGTGGTGAAAGACTAAGCGACTTGGTTAAAAATTTGTAATGACATTTGTAGAAACAAAAGCGCGACAAAGAAGACTTGAAACAAACTTTAAAATGCGTTTTTTGCGCAAATCAAAGAAAATTACTGGAAAACTATTGAATGGTTTCCTGATGTTTCTCGGAATTGTTCCTTTTTTATTTTCACAAAAAAATAATTTTCCTAATTATTCAGAGGGACTCATGATCTATTCTGGCAACAAAAAATGTTGTGTTGGAATTTTTTTTCTCTGACAACCATCTGCGGGGAACAGATTTATGACATCATGGTTTGTCTTCTTGTTTTTTTCCTGTCTTTCTTCGACTTACTACTTGCTTGAATTTAAGTAGAAATAAAACTAGGATGAGAAAACCTTTTCACGTGGAAGGTTTCTGAGGTGGTTGCAGACGGGAACGATTTCAACTCAGGGGTGGAGCTAATGCGTAACCACGTTGGCAGACAAAAAGTTATTTCTGGCGTCGCTTTTGATTGGTCAATTGCCATGCCACCCAGTCACCGCTCCTGTACTTTTACCTGCACGAGAGACTCAACTGATTGGTGGGGCGTCGCCTATAAATAAACCACTGATTGGTGAATCACGCGGACAAGCCAAAATAAGCCCTTGCACTCCGAGTCCGTTATATGGGCTGATTTTTACCTTGACCACTTTTATTCAAAATGCCAGGATGAGTTCAGTCAAATAAAGCAAAGCTGGATAAATTTCTCCAGAAACGTTTGTCAATGGTCACGAAATTTATTACGCATGTCAAAAAGCACTGTTTAAAATGTGAAATGTTAAAACGCAGATGCCGCATTAGTCAACGCTAAATCGGACAGAATCAACTCTCTAAAAGTGTGGCCGATTTAAAGCGAGTTTAAGAGAGTAAAAAGCACTGCGAGACAACAAGTTTTGTGTGTGGTTAGTCCGTAAGACATTGCTTTCTAACGACTGGTGGATTAGTGTTAAAAAGAAATTCCAGATTTTTTTCATTTCTATCAAAATTTCTTTGTTGATAAACTCAAATCAAGGATTAATTAATTAGGAGTTAATAGCGTGTAAATCATTCGGCGTAGTTCGCACAGAGTCGGCGTGACGCACAAAATCGATTTCCTTTATTGATTTCTCTCCGACTGCGTCATGCAGTACACTTCGTGGCTGGATTTTGTGGGTGTGCGTGCGTGTGTTTGCAATTAAATTTGGCGTGTCGATAATTTAAATGTTTTTTTGTACAAATAAATTTGACCAGTAGGTTAATTTGGCAGAAAAACAATACTTGTAGAAAGTGGGGCCTCAGTTTGCAGTTGGTAACGCGATTATTCAAGCAACATCACTTGCCATATTCATTGCCTTCTCCAATCGGCAGGTTGTGCGAGTACACAAGGAACTCGTAGAAACGCCGTTGAAATTTGGGCAGCCGTCTCCACGACGCGCTGTCTAGCGGTGGTATTGTGCTGACCGATGTGCTTGCAAGATTGCGCCGCGGGGTTGACACTCTCTGGCCCCCAGCAACAACCAATACACTGTCCTTGCGGTGGGTTCCATCATTCTCTCGGCTGTAGGCCAGAACAAGATCAGATCGGCTCATTCCTCTCGCCGCGTGCACACAGCCACAGGCCAGGCAAAAACTGCTCGTTTTCTGCCCGTGTGTGTGTGTGTCGCATAAGTAAGCAACTCCTCAAGGTTACGAGCACTCACACGCGCACACACTGAGGGCGAACGCAACGTAACCTGAGCGTGCAATTGCGTCGATTGGGTCGCAGGTGGGTTTCGGAATGTCCTTCTTTTTGGCCAGGTTTGGCAAGGCTCTGTGTGTGCCCGAAAATTGTGTTTCCAGATTACACAGGTCAAAGTTCAAAAGTGCCTGTTTTAAGCGCGTTAGTTATTTCTGATTGGCTAATTGGAAAAGTGGAAACAAGAGTAAATGGGTTTTGACAAAATTTTTGAGTTATTTATTCAATTTCCTTCTTCTTTTAACTGTAGTTTCTACAGCCAAGCTTTTACAAAAGTTCTATAGTGTCGACTTATATCAAAGGTTAATTTTTCGATTACTTTAAACAAAATTTGATTTTTGTTGGTAATACCCCGACCAATAGGCAATTCCTGCAGATCGTGGAATCAATATTGACAGAGTTAGTTGAATTAATTAAATTAGATTCTGTGAAAGTATCCTACGGCGAACTTGAACCCTGATTATAGTCATTTGTTTGACCTTGTCCATGATTGGTTGACTCCCCATTGGTTGATTAGTTCACTACTCTCAAGTTGTACGAGTCTGACCACTAAATCACAATTATACATGGGAATTTTGTCCAAGAATGTCAAAGGTTAAGTGGAAGAGAGAACTTTTTGAGATTATTTGTGGTCCTGAATTGAGCAATGCATGTGCTTAAGAGCGGATTTCACCTCGCCTGGTCTACTGCGAAAAGCTTTCTTCGTAGTGTACTTCAACTCCCTGCGTAGTTAGTGCTAACAAGCTCTGATTGGTTAAATCGACACTCAACCGACAGAAAAAAGCAAGACATGGCCTTTTTGCATTAAAATGACCCATTTTTGTATTCATAGTTGAGACTACTTGATTGGCATTCGCTGAATATGAAGAATTATTTTCTGCGACTCAAATGGAAAGGTATGTTGATGTAGTGGTTTTGAAATCAGCGGCAAATAATCATTCGCCTCTGCTGACAAGCAATTCTGCAAGCTTGCTTTTTGGAATATACCACTATTTACTGATTGCAATAGCATGAATAGCCCTCGTCTTTTCGTTCAACCTGACACGGAATCGATTTTTGCGGTAGCTGAAGACTTGGTAGTCGAGGCATGTGATTGGCAGATCCACTTGATGGTGGATAGAATATTTTAATTTACACAACCTCTGGCGGAAGTCGTAATCCCCAGTGACAAATTTCTTTTTCCCACGTAGCCAAAGCCCACGAAAACAACTGCCGCAAACCATATGAATCTCCCCAAACGTTTTGGCTTATTCCACGTGTTCTTAATGCGACTGCAATTAGGTCATCAAACTAGAATTAGTCATTCCCAAACAGCTGATGCTTGTGGTTTTCAACGCGTCAACGATTTTTCTCCCCTCGACTTGGTAACCTCGATGACACCAACTTCCGCCCACCAACCTCGTTTCTACCTGGTACGGATACTTAGATATTCTGCATTGCCGCCATTTGCAACATTACCTAACTTGATCATCGGTCATCAAACGTCCGCTGCGTCCTCACGTTCAATGCACTCGGAGAGAAGTATTTATAGTGGTTTATCAACAATGGTTTGACCAATCAGATTAATCTGAAGATGATTGGCTGCAGCGTTAACCTATCACTGCTTCGTTCCCACACATTGCTAACTCTCACCGTTTTTGCAGGTGAGCAATGTGTGTGCCCGCGCGGCACAGACTCCACGATAAAACGTCACGTCTGGGAGGCGAACAAACGTTTATTTCCACGGTTAGCGAAGAAGACTGCAAATTCTCGCCGACGCCTCAAGCACAAAACCAGATCACATTTTGGACAGTCGATTAAGCCTAATAAGATCTTCATCCCTGTGGGCAAAATATGTCCAAACAAATGTGTCTGATGTTTAATTTTGAAAAGTCCATCTACGAATTGCCTCTTCACAGTAGACAATTGCGTCCAGACTAAATTCAACCGCGTGTCAGACTGCGGTTACCTCACTATAAGATTTCGCTTCAAATTTGCCTTAAGGACGTGATTCACATAAGGTATCGCATGGGAGAACCTGTCTGCATATTGTATTACTCCCAATACATTCTATTCCCTGAGCACTCTATCAACATTGTTGCTTTGTCAACCACACGACGATTTTTCGAAGCTATTCGACCAAGGAAAGCATCGGCAAATCGAGATTCTTCGTGTCAGTTAATTACTTAACTATTTATTATCTGTTGATAACAAGTGATAGTGTGGGGACCCAAATAATAACACTGAAGGACGAAATCACGTGGCCATGACGCTGGCTTTCAGGGGGGCGAGGGGGGCGGGGGCGGGTGGGGAAGCATCATTAAAATGACGTGTGTTCTTCAATGAGGTGGAGTATTCTTGCCTGCATCTCGGCAGCACTCACGAGTCCCTTGCACAGAGCCTGATATTCATAGCACAGCAGCGCCAGCGCCGACTTCAGACGCCGCATATTCTGCTTGGGGCGGGTGTTGTTGCTGCGGTTGCGCCGGTTTGCGAACCAGGAACCAACCTTAAAAAAAGCAAAAATCCGACTGCACTGAAAAATAATGTCATTTGTTGGGTGGAACGTCGGCATCCCCAAGTCACTGTCTGTGTTTTCGCACACCTCTTTTTGCATTCACATCGACCGCACGTTTCCTATTGGCTCATTAGGCTTTGAATGAGCTCGCCGTCTCATTAAAACAACAACCCTCTGCGAGATTACGCCTTCGCTACTGCGCTCACGTTCCTTAGGTGCGTTTGCTGATCTCCAGCAAGCGCCAAAAGATTGCAGTGCTGTAATAAGGCCAAACTTTTCAAATGAAACAGTTTGTTTCACCTAGAAATTTAAATTTTAATCAGCTGAATTTGAATTGCAGGAATCGATATTCTTCTAATTAGATTCGGGGTGATCCTTTATTAAATGCTTATCGATCCGCATAGAAATCGATGGATTTTAAATATTAAACATAAAAATAAGCGAGCACAAAAGGTGTCAACATGAAAAATGTCAGATAACACCAAACGACATTTCAAACATCTCTGTCTTTAAAGCATAATCGTAGTAAAATCAATTGTTTCCTTTGTAACTTGTCGCCCTAAGGCAAAAATTTGATCACTTCAATCAAATGGCACAAAATCAGTTTCAAATCTACCAAAAGGAGCCGGCTAGGAAGGAGTGATGTGGCAGACCAATAACAGGCACATGAATCACACCGTACCTGAGCTTCTGTTATCGCTCCTGCTATGGCCATTCGGCGTTTCTCATATTTACTGGGGTAGGGTTTGTCCAGATGATCTCTGTACCATTCATCCATTATGGCCACTGCATTGGGGTTGAGCTGGTTGTTCGATATCATTCGAACCTTGGGTTGATCACCTGGGGTTTTCACCTTGCTTAGGGATCCCTTCTGAGGTATCACGGCTAGACTTAGTGAATTGCGATCCTCATTTTCAGTCAGCCGTTTACAACTGGATTGATCTGTCGGTTTGTAGTAAGAAGAGGAGGAAGTAGGGAGTAAATTTGGGTCGGCTGCATTATATGTTAGATTTTTGTACGGCATTATAGCGGAGTGGGCCTCGTTGACATAATGCCGATAAAGCTGATTTCCTGGTTCCACAAACTCCAGCCGTGTGTCTAGATGGAAAGGAGAGTGCAGGTCAAAAGCGGTTGATGCAAACGGATATCCGAATCCGAAGTTTTGGCAGGATGAGTCAACTACCGACGGTAACATTGGGTCGTGCACTGGCGCTCCGAGGTAATCATTGCACTTCATGTCGCCAAAAGTCGTGTTATTCTCAGGTACGTAATGCGACAGGGTGTAGTTGGCTGGTGTTGCGTCTTTTTCGTAGCCATAGTTGGTGGACGATTGTTCGTAACTAGGGCAACTGCTTGAGTCCGGATCACACTTCACCTTCTTACAGCTGATGACAAAAAAATCAAGTAATCAAAATCTATCTGTTATCAAACACTTTAACGTATTGCCTTCATATTTCCGATACATTTGTATAATACGAAAAAGTTTATTGTTTGAAACAAGTTGATTTTTTTCCAATAAACTAAGTAATCAGCAACCAAGTAATGTGCACGCCACCATAAAGTCTAAATTCGGACCCAATATTCAAAATTTGAGGCTGATTCGTGCTTATCGACGATAAGTAACATCCTACGACAATGCTAACAATGTTAAAGCGGACAATGAAACCCAGGTTTGAAACGAAGGAGCAAGACAAAATCAATGTGTCAAATTTGCAGACCTCAAATTAAGATGGCAAAGACTTTCACGACCGAAAAAAACACAATCAATAAAGTGCTTGAGGGTTTAATGAAGAACCAAGTAACGCGGCACCTAATAGCACATTGGCCGACAAGGTCACATGATTGATCAGGTGATGAGATTGAGTGAGCACAAATAGAAGTCAGAAACATTGTATTGGGGTAACTTAAGGATCTACATTTGCACAAAAAAGTAAGGCATGAAGTTCAGGTCACACGCTCCAAACTTACTCCATAGTAATTATGCAAAAAATGAAAGGCTTTTCTTTCTGCCCGTGCTTTTACGTGTGACCGAAATCGACATGTATTGATTAATGCACGCAAGCCAGATGGAAGGCTCGACCACACTGACGTCGTGTTCCTATTGGCTGTTCGAGTAGTGCTCACTGGCCGACGACTTGTACTCACGCCGCCGAGTAAAAAATCGATAGCCAATTAATGGCTACGCACTAAAAATGCCACTGCAGCATCGACCATGCGACCACCAGCAAAGTCAAAAATTTGAAAGCGGAAAACGTACATGAAAGCGTACACAAGGATTTTGTGATTAAATTCGCAAATGAGTTGGAGTGGCTCTTAAAACAGAAAAACAAAAAATGAGGATTGAAAAGAATGAGCTTGTTGAAGCAGTTACGTGCTAATTCGAAAACCTGGAGGACAAATAGAGAAATGGTTGAACAACAGATAAGATAGTCACTCACTCCTGCAGTACAGCCTAATCTCTTGCAAACTGGTTCCGGAAAATCGGAAATCAAATATGCGTAAAGGCAAAAAAGCCGATAATAACACAAGCAAGGCCAAGTCGAGGTCCTCGTCACTAGCCCCCAATCTCGTCCGCACTTCTTCACCTCCTCCCCGCGGCTACCGGTGGAGTTGTTGTCGGTCCTCCACCGCGTCATCC